AACATTTACAGACAGTCTGGGATTAAACTTTTTTGACATGACACATTTGTAAACCTTCATGGATTGTCTAAGGCTATAACTTAACATGGATTATTATGAAGCTAGGACTTCTAGAAGCTAATCTTCAAGACCATCAAATAGCATCTAAAGAAAATGTTTTTTTATACAATTCTGTATTTTACTGCTAAATGGACTGACTTTTTACAATTTTATACTGACAGCTGCCATCGCAAGCGAGACACAGGATTCCGCGGAACCCCTTACACATTTTTACAGTTAAAATTTACATACAGTTTAGGATTAATATTTTTTAACATGATAAATTTGTAAACCTTCATGGATGGTTTGTCGTTCCAGAGTTATCGGACTTTAACTGTTAGATTTAAGCAAAGGTTTCACATGTTGTAGCATAACTTGAGTTTGCTTGGATTGATTTTCTTGAAACTTTACATAATTGTTGGAGTTGGTAAACATAACACATACAACAGAGTAAATACAATCTAAGGCTCTTTCCTCTTGCAATGGTATTGAACTATTTTACTTTTCTTCCCTTTACACTAGTATTCCCCATTCCAAACTATAAGATGAATTGAAAGAAATGGTCGTGCCTTGATTCATAAAAAAGAACGGCCAACGTAGATACAAGTATCTTGTTTTAGGAAAGGACTCATCGTTCTTTGTAAAAAATCACTCTAATTCAAACCAAAAATTCACTGAAACTTACATTATTAAGATGCTTGATTTCTTTATTGACAATTGTTTTGGTTACATTTTGAAGACGTGTTTTTCAAAAAACAAATGGAATTCTCATGGGAACCTACTGTGCTTCTTTTCTTGTTAAATTGTTTCTTTATTCATATGAGGCTGACTTCATACTGAGCTTCTTAAATTATCCTTTAACTTCACGTTCCTCTATGGAGATGATGTCCTCTCACTGAATAATTAAAAGTTTGGTGACTATGTTGAACTCATCAATCCCATCGAACTTAAAATGAAGGCTACAAAAGATTCAGTTAAGTCTGCCTCATATCTTGACTTATATCTAGAAATTTACAATGAGCATCAGTTAAGAACAAAACTTTACGACAAAAGAGATGAGTTCAGCTTCCCAATTGCAAACTTTCCATTTCTATGATCACCCCCGGTTTTTGGTGGGGTTCGTGTTGTCTTTAGTTGTCTGTGTTGTGCTTTGTGTACTGTTGTTTGTTTGTTTGTCTTTTTCTTTTTTAGCCATGGCGTTGTCAGTTTATTGTCCAATTATGAGTATGAATGTCCCTTTGGTATCTTTCGCCTCCCTTTATTCAGCAACATTCCTGCAGCGCCTCTGCATATGAAGTATATTTTTCCAAGTTGATACGATATTCCAGAGCTTGCATTTTATTATGAATTCCTCGATAGAGGGTTGCTGCTTTCAAGGAAGCGATTGAACCAACAGGTGAAGTTGAAATCATCCCTTCAAAAATTTTACAGACACCATCACGAGTTGGTTGACCGTTATGGAATATCTGTTTCACAGATGACGACGATTATGGTCCAAAATTCCGTACCCTATTCCTTGAATTTGACCTTCCGAATTATACTTATCACCGGGTTTGTACTTGAATGAGCATCACGACGGGTGCCACATATAAAGCAGGATCTGTTCATCCTTCAGGATCACCTAAAATCACACCCGGTTTTTGTTGGGGTTGGTGTTGCTCAGGTTTTTAGTCTTCTATGTTGTGTTTTGTATACAATGTTTTGTCTTTTGATCGTTTTTCGTATTTTTTTTTTTTTGCAATGGTGTCGTCAGGTTTGTTTTTCAACTTATGATTTTGAATATCCCTTTGGTATCTTTCGCCTTTCTTTTACATTATAATTACATGTATAAGTAACGCTATCCTGGCGTAAGGATGCGTCTAACTCTCTTTGATAAGACCTCAAGTTCTCTTTTAACTCGTTTTGATCAATCCTTTCATCCTTTCAATAGTTTTCAATTCTCTCTACTTTTTGTTGACCAGCTTGTTTACACTTTTAAAAGCAGTTTATTTCCTTTTTGAAAACGTTCTCGATTTCTTCGGTTCAAACTCTTCCATTTCTAAGACCAACATATTCACTTTGAGTTGCAATCATTTCTTATGCTGTGTTGGTAAGTGTTTTAATTAAATTATATAAAACTGTATAAATGCAGTTCGTCCGAAGCACTTCTCTGGATTTACCATTACCAGAATCGCTTAAATCTAAACACCGAATGACATTGATGTATATACATACGTAGAAACGCCAGGAGCTATATGACCAAAAGGAATCTAAATAGCCAAATTTATCTGAGGTCAGTTCTGTAGTGTCCAGAGCCAAATTTATCTGAGGTCAGTTCTGTAGTGTCCAGAGCCGAATTTATCTGAGGTCAGTTCTGTAGTGTCCAGAGCCAAATTTATCTGAGGCCAGTTCTGTAGTGTCCAGAGTCAAATTTAACACTCAAATTGTTCTTCTCCGTCTTCTTTAATCCAGTCAATTCTGTAGGTGATAATAATAAGTTTTGTTTCCATGGATATAATAATTACCGTTGGGTCACATACAAACGTATTGATAAGCTCTCTCGTCAACTTTTCCATTTAAATTATGTATGTGTCTTGTCTCTTGCAAAGTTTTAGTACGGAGATGCTATGTACGTCATCAAATGTTTTACAAATACAAGCTTCAAAGTCTCCTCTTAGAAAGACTTCATAATATTCAATATATATATTTGAGAACAGTTTCTAAAAGTTCATCCAAAATGCTTGGTAATATTTAGAACTAAAATTATGATTCTAGTTTATATTCAGAAGCAACCAGTGTTCTAAAACATTATAATGGCAGCTTGCTAAAGTTTATTCAAATATTACGTATTGGAAAAAAAAACTTTCTTCTCTTCATTTGTTTAAGCAACCAAGTTCTTGAAGCCATCAGACATCTTATTTTTGCAAGATGTCGTTATCATTTGTGACAGTTTCGTTATGTGTAAAATTCCATATATTCTTATTATATTGATTATTGTAAAATTTGAATTGCGGAAAGCTATCATACTCATTTTCGGATACATCCAAAAACCTTTTAAATATTGGCTTTACCTTCTTGTACCAGTTCAATTAACATTCTATTCCCATTTGGGTTTTCTACGCTTTTATCTCTTCGATTTGTGTTTATTGTACAATGTATATGCTTATCACAAACTTTGTCAAGGCAGGTGGTTACTTTATTGTCTTGTTTGACAACTTCAAATTCCAAATGTGTTAATATGTCTTTTAAAACTTCAGATCTTTAGTGAATCTGACTCTCAATTACTTGAGTTGCCACAAGATGTTGTATCATGTTCATGTATATTGTTATGTGTAAAATTGTCCACATTTTGTAACGATTTATGTTTTTGCTAAGCCGAGATATCAGATCATATTTAACATGTTGCAGAGTCTTAGCACTCATTAGTTTTTCTTTCTTACTCATACAGTCTAAAAGATGTGCGGTTTCTTGTGTATACAAATACCTCTTTTCCTCCCCTATTTTCATGTGGATCCGAGACCACATTTGGCAATTTTCATTCTTATCAGATCTACCAAGAGTTTCTAGATGCTGTCTACGGTATCGATTAATTGTATTGTGAATACTTTTAAATCTACCATTTTACTCTGACACGCTCATGATATTTTTGAATTTGATTTTTTTATAAAATAAAGTCGATTATGTAGTTGTGGTTGACATTTAACAAAGACGTTAGAACTTGTCTGGCAAAACAATAACACATATGCTATACTATAAACCAACTTATTTTCGTGGAAACTTTTTTTCGCGTTTAGCCTGGTCTAGTTGACTTCGAAGCAATTTATTTTCATAATTTTCTTATTTCCTTTCTGTGTTCCATGATATAATGGAAGACCCAAGTTCAAACGTATTTGCGTATTTTTAATTCTAGCGAAAGTTGCGTAAATAAATCGCGAACATCAGTATCTTTACAGTAATTGGTTTCTTTTGATCTGACAACGAACCATACATTACAGCACATTTTTGGACATTTGGACTTGTGATGTACACACAGCAAAGGTTTTACGTAACAACTTGACAACAGACGAGTGAGAACAAAATTAAGGTCAAAATACAGAAAAAAAAAACTCTTGTATGGACATTTCTCTTGTACATACGTTTATTTGTATATTTTGATTTGGACTTCCTACTGTTTTTATTCTGGCGCTACTGATGAATCTTATGAAGACTAAATGTGCGTCTGTCCTTCCAAATTATAAGCTTGGTATCTTTGATGAGTTTTTTTATTATCTCTGTTGCTTTTCTGTATATTGAGTGACCTTAATTTTATTCTACGATCTTTCTATTTTTTATGAGTTTGTTTAAAAATTCGGTTTTTGTGTTGTTCGTGTTACTCAGTCTTAAGTTTTTTTTATGTTAAGTGTTATTTGTCTTTTGGTCGTTTTTCTTTTCTTGTCATGGCATTGTCGTTTTGTTTTCGACTTATGGGTTTGAATATCACTTTGTTATCTTTCACCTCTCTTTTTATTATGTTTTTACGCCAATATTGCGTAAAAATTCCAATCGTGTATGAAAAACAGCACTTGATGTAAAAAGAAGAATTCTATTTTGTAGCCGAAGAAAGTATGGATGAAATAACACATGTATTGATCTTGTTATCTGAAAAACGTTAACAAAACTGAAATTTCTAAAAAATTCAAGTAAATAAAATGTATTCCTAAAAATTATATTAAAATTTCTCGATATACTCTTCATTATATATTCACTCTTTGAGTAATTTTACCTCATTTCGGTACCAGCGTCTTACTTATGCTTTTAAAGTTCCATTACAAATCCCGATTTGCCAACTATTATATCAATGCTAGTATCCCAATATCACCGACCTAATATTTACTGTCGAAACAGCGATTTTTATGGCAATTTTCCATGTTATTCTTCCATGCCTATATCATTGCGTGTCTTGTACTTCAGTGGAGAGAAGAGATATAATAAAATACACAAAACGCGATGAGACCTTTATTTAAGAAAGCATAATAATACTAGAATATAAGTATAATATAAAAATTATATTTGTTACAGACAGCATGTTCATTAATCAAAGCACATTTTAATGCTACCGATATAATAACGGTCATTAATAATGAACAGTTCATGATCATAGAACTTGTGAAGTAATTTTACAGTTACATATTAACTCCGTAAATGTCTTTGTTATTTTAGATTCATTTTATACTTTACTATGAAGGAGTTGTTGGAAATACGTCAATTAGACAGAAGTTCAAGGAATAAAAAAAAAAGGAATGCCATAATAATGATTATGTGAATGCCGTAAACCGGTTTGTAAAGAATACCACCTGTCATATGACGAAATATCGTCGGAGTTTGATCTTATTATTTGAAAATTAGGAACAAATGTCTTAACTGGCATGTAAATTGAAATTGTTGAAAAGCGTCAGAGAAATGGAGTTAAGTGCCGTTTTTACGCAAACTTTGCTTAACTTATTATGAATGTAAACTAAATTCAATACTATATTGCAAATATGCACCAAAATTATTTTACAAAATGTTATCATAAAAAAAAGAAAGAGGATATTGCCTGTTTCATGAAAACATGAAGACAGTTTGTGTATCTTATAAAAGAGAGGCGAAATATACCAAAGGGATATTCAAACTCGTAAGTCGAAAATAAACTGATGACGCCATGCCAAAAATAAAAAAAGAAAAAGAAAAAGAAAAAGACCAAAAAGACAAACAGAATGCAAAACACAACATAAAAAACTCAAGATTGAGCAACACGAACCTCCACCAAAACCGGGGGTGATCTCAAGTGTTCCAGAAGTTTAAAAAGATCCTGCTCTACGTCGTGTTGTCATATAAGTACAAACCTAGTGATGGGCCTAATTCGGTAGGTCACATTCGGAAAAAGGAGGACGGGATTGAGGTTACGACGATTGGCACATATCCGTCTTCATCTGTGAAACGGACATTCCATAATGGTCACCCAACTAGTGATGGCGGATGACAAAATAATAATTATGTAACTACTGTAAACGGTTTGTGTAGAATGCGACCTGTCATGGGAAGACATATTTTTAGGAAATATTGCCATTCGTTTTTTACAACTACTATATATTATTGCCTCACTGACACATATGAAATACTTTCTTTATTTCGTAGTATTAAAGTAGAAAAAGAATTTGAAATAACAAAGGCATTAAAGCAGTTAACTGTAAAATTACAAACCATTGCTAAGACGTATTTTTCCTTAAGTGTGCCATTTTTGTTCTTGTATAATTTTGATAGGCACAGAGTTATTATATATTTATGTAAATATACAATGCATAAATCATTCAAATCGAAAAAAGAGTAATGTCTGAAAAATTCCCGATAATGAAGTGAAGAAGATTTTAGCAGTTTTAATCAGAATCGGGATAAGCAAACCGTGAACACTGCAATTAAGTTTTTATTCTGATTACAATGTAACTCAACTCATTCAGAGTCAATTGAGTTAGAAGAACAAATGCATATTATAATATAGTGATTATATTATCAGTTGTGATAAAGCAATATGATATCCAAGAAAAATTGAAACCAAAATTGACTGACGTCAACAAAAATTATCTGAAACTACAGAAATTCTCATATAACTATCTTCGAAAAACACATTTTTTCTTTTGTTTCACAGAAAAAAAACATTATGTCTCGCACCATGAAATAACAAATAACAACTAAATTTAAGTCTGAACACTAAAAACAAGCTGCTTAGGTCACGGTTTTTAAAGCTTTTCGAGATAATTCGATGGCATCATCCCATGTTCTCCAGTTGACATCACTGTACCTTTCAACCAAGAATCATCTATTATCTCACAATCTGTAATGATATCTCCCTCATTAAAGCTGACCTCGTCATCATCACCTGCTGCGTAATCATAAAGGGCGCGATAAATAGCCTGGAATTTATAAAGAGCAATAGTCAGCTTTTAAAATATTTAACATCTCTTTTCATAAACGGTGTCTAGCCCCATTTATTTACGAGTCCGTGGAGGATTACTTACATTGGATTTTGTGATTCCATCCAATATTCCTGGATTTTTCAGGTCATTCCAGACATTACCGTTAGTCATATTAACTGATTTGTTATTTAACTATTTAGTTTTTGACGATTTTATAATGTTGACTACTATGTGCAAAATTATTAAACAATGTTGTCTTCAGCTCAACTTGAATCAAAGTTTGGTAAATAAGATACATAAGGCATCTCTCTCTCGTTTTTAAAGTTATGATTTTAACACACTGACAAGTTACGAGCAAATACTTATTTTTTTGCTACAAACTTACGTCATCTTCAGCAGATTGTTGCAGCATTTCTTGTGTAGGATCTGGTTCTGGTGCTGGTGCTGGAATCAATCAAAGCAATCAATATGAAATATAAAGATGTGATATTATTACCAATGAGAGAACTTTGTCACAAATGTTGCCCACCAATCAAAATTGACGCGATTTTCGCATATATCGTAATAATTTGTCTTTGACATATAAATCTTAGTTTCCCCTTTTCTGTTTCTATGTGGTTCAAAGGGAAATTATATCCTGAAATATGTGAATATAGGAAGGTCACTGTTTCCTCAAAAATCAATCTGATAACAAAAGACAAGAATGGAGGTACACAACTACAAGTCATATAGATACATTTTGCCAAGTTGCATCACATTTGAATGCATCCGAAACAGATGTAACAACCATTGTGACAAACAGGCAGAAAAACAGACGAAAAAACATTACGGTTTCCTCAAATGATTTTGATACATTAATATATAAATTTCATTGGAAAACTTAATGCTTCCCATTTTCTCAATGAAAACCCATAAGATAAACTCACCCTGAGAACGTATCAATTCAACAGTTTCCGGTTGGGGCGGATCGACTTGGGCTTTTTGTTGTAATTGCTCAGTAAAATCCTGTTTCCCTGAGTCATCGACTGCAGTAAATTGTCCCTTCTGTCCTTCAAACTCTTTATGGTATACAATCTTAAAATGAAAGAAGTTTCGCACAGTACGGTTACAAATTTAATCCATTTAACAAGTTGGATTAAAAAAGGGAGAAAATATCAGGGGGATCAAAAATCGAAGTCGAAGATCAAAGAAAAGTAGACAACACCATGGTTGAACTAAATAGACAAACAGATAAAAAGACCACATTTCAACACGCAAAACTAAAGAAAAAGCAACACGAACCAAAACAAAACCAGGGTTAAATTTTACGCGGTATTTTGATCCTTTGATCAACACATTTCAAAGAAAATGATAGATTCACCGATTATAACGTGACCAGCTGGATAATACATGAATGGGGAAGTTGCACAATTGAAATCATGAGATTTAGAGTCTTCATAAATAAGATCCTACAATATGTATAAACTTGCAGTTAAAAACTTAAGATGCAATATGTGTGGTATAGGTATAAGAAATGATTGGAACATATTGGTCCTTAAAGTATGACAGTAGTATTTTTAAATTAGACAATGTGTTATTATTTGTTTCAGAAAAAGACTACAGGAAGTGTACTAGCTGAAGTATACAAGGAGACGATGGGTAAACCTCAATCAGACAGATACCCTAGGGTACAAATAACCAAACGACATATTGAGATAAATCGATGCAGTCTTCTACAATACGTCAATGTTCATCCGAGTCCCGATACATATAAAAATAAGAAAATGTGGTATGATTGCCAATGAGACAAGTCTTCACAAGAGACCAAATGACACAGACATTAACAACTATAGGTCACCGTACGGCCTTCAACAATGAATAAAACCCATACCGCATAGTCAGTCAGACCTGGGACAGGCACATATAGAATGTGGCGGGGTTAAACTAGTTTGAAGGCGCCAACCCTCCCCATAACCTGGGACAATGGTGTAAAGTACAACATAAGAACAAACTAATAATAAAATCAGTTGAAAAGGGCTTATCTCATCAGATGGATACAAAGCAGAAATACATCTAACAAAAACACAGAGTTGACTTGGCAGGGTACTTATACATCCCAACAACACAAAGACAATAAGTACAGATCTGAGAGTTCTCGCAGTTACTGACAGCTAGTTCAAAGCCAATGACAACAAATAAAAAAATCATGTATCTAAGACTAAAATATCAATCAGTACACATCCAACGTCCAATGGATTTAGTGTAAAGACGTCATTAACAGTCAGAGAAAAACATGACCTTGTGCAATGCCAAGATACAGGTATCGACAGATTGTAGAGCCATGAATGTGCATATGTATATAAAAGTGATCTTTAGTTTGATTTTAATTTACAAAATCAATATCCATACCAATAAAAACAATATTCAAAGATCTAATTATAGTGTTGAGTTGGTAACCTTTTCGAATAAGTTTATTCAAAGGATCGATAAGTTTACCCGGATCGTATCTGAATTTCATAGTTTACAATGATCTTTTGTGATAGTGCCTGCCGTCAGATGTAATCTACTATACCCATTTTTACAAACGCACACAAACGTAGTTTCTATAAACAAGATTTTCCATACATTATGAACGAGACTGACACGGGTTTTATTTCTTAAAAAGCAGCGCAAAAGTGCTTGCCCATTTGCCCTTGTATGGTTTCAACGAATAAATGATTCTAAAAATAAGGTTTTTGTATCCATCTGACGAGTTAAGCCCTTTTCAACTGATTTTATTATTAGTTTGTTCTTATGTTGTACTTTTACACCACTGTCCCAGGTTATGGGGAGGGTTGGTGCCTTCAAACTACTTTAACCCCGCCACATTCTATATGACCTTTGACATATAAATCAAATAAAACCGAATATGTTATCAAAGAAAATCATATCCAATGAGAGGCATAAAGTAAACTATAGGTAAACTGTGATTATTAAAGGGGCATTAGCTGTCAAATTCATGTTCACCGATTTGAATCAAATTCTTATATTCAAATATAAATTTTATATAGAAAAAGTCTAAAATAAACAATTAACAATGCATGGACGCGATAGTATATATCAGCATTTCGTGTGTATTTTAGTCTAGACGCCATCTAGTTAACCATCGAGATGACCTCCGAATACTGCAGACGGTCATATAACCCGATATAAACATACATGTGTTAATATGAATATGAATAGATAGCGACCACGTGTAATTGAATATGTCTAGGTCTGTTTGATTTCATGTTGTAGGTTAAAACATTATGTTAATCATCGTTTTTACCTGTATAAGAATGTTTGTTTGTGGATCGAATCAGTCAACGAAATGGTTCACCCTTGTTTTACTTTCAATGTTGACATTTTTTTCTTTCAATAGCTGATCACGCCTATTGCATACGTAACCCATCTACAGCTAAGAGGTTAAATTGAAGTTCACATGAATACGGTTTCACATGATGTCGAATTATTCCTTTGCAAGTCATTAATACATCAGCGATGCTTTTAAACTTATTTTGACCAATTTGCTCCAAACTTACTGCTTGAATATAACAAAATTCCGTTTTACTAATGCTTGAAACAAAAAGGATAGTATAATTACAATTTTTGTCTAACTCATAGCTAATAAAAATTGAGAATGGGAATGGGGAATGTGTCAAAGAGACAACAACCATACCAAAGAGCAGAAAACAGCCGAAGGCCACCAATGGCTCTTCAACACAGCGAGAAAATCCCGCACCCGGAGGTGGGCTTCAGCTGACCCCTTAACAAAAATATGTACTAGTTCAATGAAAATGGACGTCACACTAAACTCCAAAACATATAAATGAACTAAAAGTTAAAAACATACAAGACTAACAAAGGTCAAAGGCTCCTGACTTGGGACAGGCGCAAAAATGCGGCGGGGTTAAACATGTTTTGTGAGATATCAACCCTCCCCCTATACCTCTAGCTATTGATGGTTTTACTTAACCAATACCATTTATACAAATAGAAAGCAACCCATTAATGACTTACGTTACTCTGCATTGACGTATTTTGTTGGAGTCTTTTGTTCTCGGGGGTGTCTGCTACTGCTGTAAACTTTGTTGTTGGGTAATGTCTGATTTGAAGAAAAAAAGAAACAGATGACATCAATTGACTAACCAATATTTGAACCGAAAAAATGTGATTATATAGAAATTCGAACACTTGATCTTCAGAAAAAATATATTGGCTAAAAGATGAAAGTTTATCTAAAAAATGAATGGCAAACCGTATTTGTTTGCATACTGTGCTTTTATTAAAACACGCTCGTTTGATCTGTTATTTAGTTGGGAATATTTCATAATGATTATGAAATGTCTTATGATAACTTAATACATCAAAGCTGCCAGTAACAATCCAATTCAAAATCATGTTATTTCTATTCTGAAATATAATCTCAAGATACCGATTTTAACTTCAAACCAAAATTTAGTGAATTCAAACACGTAAAACAATTAAGAACCTCAAAATTAAACAGGTACTTAAAAGTTTGAAAGCATCCGTTCACTATGTAGTTAAAAGTATGTGGCGGGATGCTCTTAAATATGGAAAGGTCTCAAATAACAACTGGACCTATGCACCTGAACAAACAGCAAAATTATTTATCTTATTTGGACCTACATGCATTATTATATATCAGCATTTATAAAGCCTAACTTACGTTGCACAATAGGGTAGCTTGTTGTAACCTTTATAGTTTTTCATGGTTAACTTCAAGTTACAGGATTCACACTTGAAACAACTCTTGTGCCAGTACTGAAATAAACACGTAATAACAAGTTACATATGAAATAAATCTATAATGACAAAATTATGATATATCAATCGAAAATGATGCAACTTTGCTATTAAAATACAAATATTACGACGAACAAACATTTATTGGTTCTTTTTTTGAGAAATTTGCCAATGTTATAAGAGCATACATTCAATAAATACATACCTTATCAAGACAGTTGAGTTTTTCCACCGGATAAACAGTTTTCTCACACTTTGCACATTGAGGATTCATTTAAATGTCTTTTCTTGCAATTCAACTGAAAAAAAGGTAAACAGTTAGTGACTACATTCGAAGACAATAGCTATGATTTTGCCCCCAAAGAATTTCAAAATGTTACTGGCAAACACTTCTGCGTTGCTATGATATGTGTGTGATGATATGTGTCCCAAATAACCGGTTAGAAAAATACAGTGAACTCTTCTAACACAAAAATAAAATAGAAAATTTGCCATTGCACATATATAAAATATATATATTCAAGTAAATAAAATGATTTCACCACCTTACCACACTTGCTGTCAAAAAAAAAAAACAAAAAACTATAAAAGTTAATTATTATCTACAGTTTAAATACTAGACTATTTCAAATCCTGTATCAAGATTAATATTTTCATAATCTTTCTTATTAATATTTTTATAATCTACTTTAAGAGATGTATCCGCTAATTATTTGATCATGACATATGTTATATGTATATTGACCATTGGTATCTGTAACAATTAACTTACGAAAGTCAAACCAATTGGTTTGTTTCATTAAAGTAAATGAAACACAGTAAAATGCATAAACATGTATATGGCAAGAGACTTCAAAGAGCCTTTATCGCCCAACTGGCAATTTTGCAAAATATTGATACATTGCAATAAGAATATTTGTGTTGAATGCAAACCGTGTCAGAAATGTTTTGTCATGTTGATGATTATTGCTGGACAGTTTCAGTATATCCATTATATTTTAAGATAATAATAAAAATGAAAAAAATGGGTTTAAAATGTAGTAATAGGCAACAACTTGTATATGTCGTCAGTCGACGATTTCATTCATATTGACATATGATTTTGTAAATCTTGCGCCGTTAATAGCGTATCTTTTACAGTTTTAAGATATTTGGATAAAACAAAAACAATACAAAAACATAATTTTGAGCATGAGTTCTGTCTTAATACTTATTTGTAGATCTTATCTAATTTTGCTGATCATTTTTGCTTTTTATACTTTCTCTCTTTCAAGTCTCCTATAGTTTTCACCAAATACGCAATAAAAATGGGAAAAAATATAAAAGGAAGGTTACTCTAATGAGGAGTCGACTGATCATATTTGTTTTTGCATTTTTTACAGTTTCACCGTATCTCTTCTAGTTTGGTGCGAAACTGCAAATAAGCTTCCGGAAAACCCAATTCATATCATATGACTCATACAAGGAGTCTCTATCCTTTTTTTGCAATAAGATTGTCAAAAGAAACTAAAATGAAAGATAACTACCATTGAAAACCACAAACCATACATATAAATTCATTGTTACGATGATTGTATAACTGACATGACGAATTTGGATTTAAATCTATTCCGGCGCACTCGCGATTAAACTTTGATGACACGGTTTTAAGTTACATTTATTACAAATAGTTCAGGCATTACAATATATATCGAATTATAATTTTGAAAAATAAAACATAACACTCAGAAAGACTTCAGTGAGCTGGAGTAGTAAATTAAGAATAAAATTTTCCGATTGTAAACAAAACATCAATGTGAGGCTCTGGCGTCAAACGATCTCAATTCAGGAGTATCCGAAATCGTGCGAAAAGTATGAGATTTGACCAATTACGCAATCAAACAAATTTGTCTAAGGGACTGGACTAAACATGATATAAATGAACGTATCCGTTATAATGAGTCTAACAATCGTATTATATATTTTCAACTGACTCTTTTATTAGTAGTAGGCCTAACTCATAGACATAGTGCATCCTTACAGGTACATTCAGGTAGAAAGGTAAACTTTCTTCCCGATACCTTTAATGAAGGAGATACAAAATTTTGTCAATTTTAACATTTTACTTGATAATTTTGAAAAAAAATGTTTGTTTATTATTTTGTGAAACCATGTTTGCAAATATCGATTTGAAATTATATAATAGTTGATTGCATTCATTTCCTTGTAGCAGATTTCAAAGGTCATAGGCAGTTTAAGGTCAAACAAATCAGTCTACAATATGGTCAACTTGCAGTAAGTGTTTGTTGGTAAAATAGATATAAAAATGAAAAATATGCATAAAGCCCTATGGCCTAGTAAAAATAAATACATAAAAAGGCCAATTAAAATGTGAATACAACGTCAAAAGTACTTAATTCATCTTTTATCAGTCAATGTTCTTAAACACATAAGTAAGTATGATTCTAAAGATTTGTTTGCAATAGTATGTTTTTCATCTTAGCAGTTAGTCAAAATATAAATGCTTGAAGGTGTCTGAAATGGAATTCTGATAAATTTTATGAAATTTTGAATTTTTCATATTATAAACAGGAAGCAGGACGTTCAAACCCAAGTTAAAAGAAAAACCTTGTGCTACCTGTAAGATATTAATTTATTTATTCAGGTTTTTATTGTTTTTCAATCAAAAAATTAACAAAGCATGAACTAGTATTTGCAATGAGTCAAACTTGTCCTCAACAGCGGTTTTTAGAACATTTGTGAAAGTGTTAAAAAAATAAATTAATCAGTAAGTTTGATCGATTCGGTGAGTGGAACACATGTGAACGTGACATACATTATAAAACGTCTCGTTAGGAGCTAAAATAGAGACAGTCTATTAAACATAATCAACTAATGCACTCAAACAATTTTCTACCTTAAAACTGTACTAATAACAATATCATTTGCACAATATTTGTATACTCACTGTATGTAATTTATATTTAAAACATTTTAATCCAGTAAGATGTAAAATGGTGATAATCTTAAATTTGACACTCAAAAATGTAATGCTTTGTTTTCTAACAGGAAGTTATCGTGTAATTGTAATTTAGATAATTTTTTCTATAACAATAAATGATCTGCTGGCATTAAAGGGAAATAATTATTATTCAGTCATTGTAAAAACTAATTAATCAAAGATACCAGGCTGATTATTTTGAACGCCAGACCCAAGTTGTGTCTACAGGAGGCTCGAATAAAAAAATTGAACTGCCAAATTAAGTACGAAGTGGAGTAGAATTGAGGAAACAAAATTCAGAAAGGTTTTGCCAAATACTGCTTATAAGTAATCTAATCCTCGGGGGTAGAAAATCCTAAGTATTTTGAACAGTAAAATTTTGATACGTTCTTAATTTACAGGAAGCTATGATTTATACAACTTTGAATGTGTTCCATAATATGTTTTCAAAAGTTTTTTTTTCAAAATTTTAATCATCTTAAAATTAGATTTCAATATTCTTTGAAGAACAGAGGATAATAGTTTAATAATAATTGAAATAATGTTTAGAACAAATTACCTATACAATTTCTATATGAAGGAAGTTGATAGTTGACAGAACAAAATTTTCTGGATCATAATGTAAATTATTTCCCTTTATTATTAGAAGATTAGTAATTGCTTTAAAAAATATCCAAATTATAAATACGCAATAACTTCCTGTTAGAAAACAAAGCTATAACTTATTGACCAACAAAACAATGTTTTGAACTAATTATTCATAAAATTTATTTAGGATAAAAGTTCTCTTGTCAAAGTTCGACCTTTTTAAACCAGTGCCTCATATTATGCCAAGTCATTTTTTTATGTTTGAATTTCATGACACAGACAATAATTACTTGTAACTGAAGTTGAATGGTAAGTATAACTATTTTTCACTGCACTCACTTTACACTAACAACCTTTCACGGAAGCAATTACTTGAAATATTTTACCAGTTAATCAGTTTGTGGAGATGAATGCAAACGGCAATTTGGTAAACTGTTTGAGCAATTGGTATAGTAATAGGCCAAAGTCTACTGAATACGCACAGAAACATGTTTTTGCCTTTTTGTCATTACCTTGTAACCTATATTAGATAAAGAGAAACTGTGGACAGCATAAAATGAACAAAGGAACAAATCTACAAGAAAAACAAATCAAAGTCTAACTTAGTACAATGTATGTGAAGGATGGATCAAACTTTTGATTTCGATTTTAATGTTTCCTGTTTTTAAGCCAGGTGAATGATTGAATTCTCTAAGTGAGCATGTAGTTTCTGTACATATGGATGACAAATTGAAACTGAGTTCTGTATTGATGTTATTCTTTTGTTTTAGTAATTTATATGTTTGTAATCAGCAATCAGGATTTGTATGTTAGAAGCAACTGTGTTCCCTTAACGAATTGTTTAGCGGCTAATAATGCAAATTGGCCAGGTACCATACCAGACATTTATAGTATTAATGTTTCATTATGGGCATCATTATATAACCGGATGAATTATGAATACTTATATAATGAGCTTCTTATTTATATCTAAACTATTAATATAAATTTCACAGTGAGCACACATGGGAAAAAGAAAATATAAATATAAATATCATAGATGTGGATACTAAAAAAATCCAAAGATCTTTTAGAGTACATACAATCTAAGACTCTTTCATCTTGCAATAGAATTAAAACATTTGACTCTACACTTTACACAAGTATTCCCCATTCCAAACTAAAGACAAATTGAAGAGTTGGTCCTGCTTTGTTTCATAAAAAAGAATGGCCAACGTAGATACAAGTATCTTGTCTTAGGGAGGGATGAATCCTCCTATGTAAAAAATCACTCTAGATTCAAACAAAAAATTCTCTGAAACTTGACATAATCAAGACGCATGATTTCTTGATTGACAACATATTTGTAACGTTTGGAGGACGTGTTTTTCAACAAACAATCGGCATTCCCAAAGGGAACCAACTGTACCCCTTTTCTTGCCGACTTGTTCCTTTATTAATATGAGGTTGACTTCATACAGGAGCCTTTTAGGAAGAAAGAAAAGAAGTTAGCAGTATCCTTTAACTTTACTTTCCGCTATATAGATGATGATATCTCACTAAAAATTCAAAATCTGGTGACTATGTTGAACGCATCTATCCCATCAAACTTGAGATAAAGGATACACCAGATACAGTTAACTCTGCCTCATTTCTTGACTTATATCTAGAAATTGACAATGAGGGTCGGTTGAAAACAAAACTTTACGACAAAAGAGATGAATTCAGCATACCAATTGCGAATTTTCCATTTCTATGTAGCAACAATCCAGCAGCCCCTGCATACGGAGTATATATCTCCCAGTTGATATGGTATTCCAGGGCTTGTATTTCCTATCATGATTTCCTTGATAGAGAGTTGCTGCTCACAGGAACTGCTTACTCTTCCGGAGCACCTGAGATCACCCAAAGTTTTTGGTGGGATTCGTGTTGCTCAGTCTTTATGATGTGTTTTGTGTACTATTGTTTGTCTGTTTGTCTGTTTGTTTGTTGGTCTTTTTCTTTTTTAGCCATGTCTTTGTCAGTTGATTTTCAACTTATGAGTTTGAATGTCTCCTTGGTATCTTTCGCCTCTCTTTTGACTTTTTTTTAAATTGAAAATATTTTGATGTGTGCCTGTCTCAAGCCAGGAACGTTGTTCGTTGGTTGTTTTCAGTCATATTTTTTTTGTTCACTGTTGTAATAGTATTCATGCCGATGTTTTACAGTTTGTCGTATTAGGACGTTTTATAGCTTACCAGACGGTGTGGGTAATTATTGAAGGCTGTATGCTGTAATTATTCACACATTTGTCTTTTGATCTTTATGGATAGTTTTTCATTGGCAATTATACACCGTTTCCTTATTTGTATATTTAGCTCTCTTTTCAGGAAAAATATTTTTTTTATATTTATTTTATTTTTTCAAAACAGATAATACATAATATACAAGGATATATAGATTAGCATTTACAGTGCAGATACTTGTAATAAAGTTAATTTTAATAATTCTTAAAGTTACTGTTTTCTTAAGAACAGTTTGAGTTTTCTGCTGCAAACAAATTCATGTGTATGTTTTTTTTTACAGTTAAATTTTAAAGAAGAAAAAAAATCGAAATGAGAAATTGATAGAAAAAAAAAAAAAAACCAACAAATTTTTGTGGAAGAAAAAGTTTTAAGTTGTAGGGAACAAAAGGAAAATTTGGTCATTGGTGGTTTGCTCTATATATCAATGCATTTATATGGCATTTGAGTCAAGGCAGATATGAAGTAAAAAGCCATATTTATAGGTTTCTGTAGCAAATTTTGAGAAAAGTCTCAAGTATTTGTGTGATTGTTCTTCAATATAAACACAAAAAGTGTCAGCTATTCCATTCTCTCTCAAACTGTTCTTGTTTTTGTTTTTAAAATAGCTACAGTATTTTCATTACAGTACAGATCATTTAACTTTTGTTTGAGTGCCTGTAGTGACAGAACTTTTTTCAATCATCGACTTGAATAGATATATCATTTAATAAAAAGCAATATCTTATTTTGTACAATACAGTTTATAACATAAAAAAATACCAAATATTAAGAAAAAATATTACCTATTTTCTAAATATTTATTCCTATATATTCGAACATTTTACGGAATACTTTCCTGAAAATTAAAAATTTACATTTCATATTCTTGTCCAATTAGGTTTTGAGTTTACAACAATGATAACCAATTCTTTCCAAAAATTCTTTCCAAAAATGAAAATTCAGAAGCATTGTTTATTAAGAAAATAGTCGAAATTGACTCGCTAGGGTTATGATGCAATATAATGAAGACAACATATGTATTCAGCGATAGAGAAGCCTATCTAGAATTCAAGTTTCACAACAGAGCAGTCATAAATAAACTCATCAAAGATACCAGGATTAAAACTTTATACGCCAGACGCGCGTTTCGTCTACAAAAGACTCATCAGTGACGCTCGAATCAAATTAATTAAAAGGCCAAATAAAGTACGATTTGAAGAGCATTGAGGACCCAAAATTTCAAAAGGTTTTGTCAAATACAGCTAAGTACTACTTGATGTACCCAGAGAGATTTAACAATTTGTACAATACAGTTTATAACATAAAAAAATACCAAATATTAAGAAAAAATATTACCTATTTTCTAAATATTTATTCCCTTATATATTCGGAATACTTTCCTGAAAATTAAAAATTTACATTTCATATTCTTGTCCAATTAGGTTTTGAGTTTACAACAATGATAACCACTTCTTTCCAAAAATGAAAATTCAGAAGCATTGTTTATTAAGAAAATAGTCGAAATTGACTCGCTAGGGTTATGATGCAATATAATGAAGACAACATATGTATTCAGCGATAGAGAAGCCTATCTAGAATTTAAGTTTCACAACAGAGCAGTCATAAATAAACTCATCAAAGATACCAGGATTAAAATTTTATACGCCAGACGCGCGTTTCGTTTACAAAAGACTCATCAGTGACGCTCGAATCAAATTAATTAAAAGGCCAAATAAAGTGCGATTTGAAGAGCATTGAGGACCCAAAATTTCAAAAGGTTTTGTCAAATACAGCTAAGTACTACTTGATGTACCCATAGAGATTTAAGAATCATAAAGTTTGGTATAGCTTATAAAAATGAAACATAACTTATACATTATGTAGGCACAAATAATTGACATGGAATCATGATTGCGCTTCATTTGAACATACAAGTCTAATGATTGTTGTGTGATATAAAATATGACGCATAAGGAAAAATAACAGACACATCTGTTTGGGATTGTGAAAATATTACTGGTATGTATATTATAAACATGTGGCATGCAAAACTAAAGATGATACGTAAATTAAGGCGACAATAGTTTACCGATAAAATTGAGAATGGAAATGGGGAATGTGTCAAAGAGACAACAACCCGACCATAGAGCAGACAACAGCCGAAGGCCACCAATGGGTCTTCAATGCAGCGAGAAACTCCCGCACACAGAGGCGTCCTTCAGCTGGCCCCTAAAC